AGTTTCAGCAATGCTGATTTCTACTTTTTTTGCAGAAAAAAATAGAAAATAGTATACAAATACTACGTGCTACAATACTTTGTAACAGCATACTGAACACATCTAAGCCTATATGAACTTGGCGCCCCTCATTTCAATAATTAAGGATCAGCCCCTGAAAATATACCACAAGGTTGTGAAGTTTCAGTTTTGCATTGAGGATACATTTAGAATTTGCTAAAAACTGCAGAAATTCTCAATAAAAAAAAATAGGTGAACAGAAATGTTACCAAAGTTTTTTTTCTTTGGTGTTTATTCCTATATTGATGAGACATTGATTTACTGCAAAAAAGTTCTCATATTATTTAAAATAGGCCTCTTTTAATACACTACTTAAATAGGCTTTTCTTTTTCCATCTTGATTTCAGAGGTCAAAAACATTTTTAAATTTTTTTTTAAAATCATATAGTGGTGTAGAATAGTTTTTTGAGAACATTTTCCAGAAAAAATTAATGTGATACGACCCTCCATATGGAGTTATGAATATTTAGATAACATGAGGACAAGAATTCAACCTCAAAGCTTATCTTATTTCTGTTGGTTACGCACCACTGACTTGGATTTGATTGTCATCACTTCAAGATGTCTACAGATTTGTGAAAAAGGCATCTGGTGGGGGAGCGGAATGCACCGGAAAAACACCCCCACCTTGGGGAGAGGTTTTTAGAACAAAAGTCTCACGCCTGCAAATAAGTCAAACTTGACATACGGCTAGGCTCGTGCCTCGGCCTCCTCCTAATGCAGGTGACAGGCAGGCCTAGTACTAGACCTAGTAGGCCCAGCGAACCCGGCCCAGCCAGCCAGGTTTCGCCTTATTGGTTGGTTGAGCCTAGCTAGGGAAGGCCTAGCAAAATCAACCAGAAAATATGGATTGTTGGTTCGTTCCACTATATTTAATATTAGAATTCTAACAAAATATCACCTGCTTTAAACAACTGAAGGTTAAATCGGGTACAGGAGACAAATAACCTGTAAGAAGTCTGCATATAACCTATTTCTATATCAACATGTGTGCCTCTGCTGAATGATGAACAACTAAACAATAGTCTGGCGAACTTTCTGCAAAATACTATTTTCTCTATATGAGTACATCACTACTACAAAATATAACCTTCTATACTTTTACAAAATAATAAATAGTAAAGCATTTTTCAAATTTTATTTATTTGTATATTCTTAAGTAAATTTAAAGTATTACAGCCTTTCGACCGTAATTATTTTCAAATTTGAGAAAGGGTAATATTAAAAGAACATGGCGGCCTCCATGAATGAGAGCGTTAGAAAACGAACTCGAGTTGTCGGCTGGCTGGACCAAGAAGAATGGCAGTATGTGTATGATAATTTTTACAGTGACGATTATGAGCTTCAGAAAAGTGCTTTAGATAGATATGCTGCCTGGAAAAGTCGGTAGGTAACACGTTTCTTAGACCTAGGCCCAGGCTACTGGGCTAACTACCTAGGCCTTTTTCACGCTGCGGTAGACATCTTCGATCGATGACAAACAATGCTGAGCAGCGAAGCGTAACCAACAGAAATAACACAGCGTTTCGGCCATATTGTCGGAGGTCATGTTACTCAAAAAATCATATATCCTTAACGGGAGGTCATGTGAACATATTTTTTTCTTTAAAATGTTCGCAAAGAATATATCTACATACCGTATAAATAAGAAAAAATTGAAAATTTGTTTAGTCTGTCAAAACTTAACTGGAAAATAGAAGACCGATTTTGTGTAGTGCGTGTTGCTATTATTTCAATTAAGTTTTGACAGACTAAACACATTTTAATTTTTTTGTTACTCATACAGTACTTAGATATATCGTTTGCAAACATTTTAAAGAAAAAAATATGTCGATACGACCCTCCGTTAGGGAGTTATGATTCTTAAAGTAACATGACCTCTGAAAATATGGCCGGCATACTAATGATATTCGGTCGAACAGTGTGAAATATGGCAATGCGATTGCGTGTGTTAACACTACACAAAATCGGTCTTCCATTTTCCAGTTTAGTTTTGACAGACTAAACAAATTTTTTTTCATTCATACAGTTTGTAGATATATCCTTTGCGAACATTTTAAAGAAAAAATTATGTTGATACGACCCTCCGTTAAGGATTTATGATTTTTTAAGTAACATGACCTCCGAAAATATGGTCGAAACGCTATGTTATTTCTATTGATTACGCTTCGCTGCTCAGCACTGTTTGTCATCGATCGAAGATGTCTACTGCAGCGTGAAAAAGGCTTGTTCGTCCAATGTTGCTCTGTACACCAGACTTGAAACTCACACAGATACATCTGCAAAAAAATCAGTCATAAAAAATAAAAACAAACATGTGTATTTATTGTATTTCCAAAAACCAACAGATGCACTGACTATGTTTAACATAGAAAACAAAGTTACTCTGAATATTCGGAGTAATGTTTGTTCTATGTTTACATGTATGTATTGTATATTTATGAGGTTTTCATATTATTATAGGAGTGGTGGGGGTGGGGTGGGGAGAGGTCAAGGGAATAAAATGCCCTCAGGCATATGGCAATAATATTTAAAATACTTAAGATAAACATACAAAAAAATATGTAGTTTAATACCTGAGATTTTTTCCCATAGAGAAGCTGTCTACTGATCCATTATCCAAGGTGTTCACACTCAGCATAACTTTTTTTTTGTTCATAGAGTGACCACAAAAATACCGCTGTCAATAGCGTGTACAGCTGGTTTAGTGGAGGCAGGTATATTGGAAAAGCAAGGTGCAAATAAAGAATGTATTCGACTGGCTTATGCAATGGCTTTAATAAGGTCAGTACTTCTTTACAAGCAGTCTTCCATTTTTTCAGCAACAGAGAATGTGAAGCATCCAGTATTGTATACTTTTTTGTATTATGCATATGACTGTATAAGTGTATAATTCATTATTATTTGATCTCACCACCATGATTTACCATGGCTTATCTAATAAGTCAGTGTTGTACTTCAATCATACATCCCCAGTATGATTTTTACCATAGAATTATAAACTGTTTTTCCTTTCCGTAGATTTGTAAACATGACAACAGATCGTTATCAGAACAAATTCTTTGCTCAGCCAGTTCATGTAATTGCTAAGGAGGTTGGTATCAATATATTAACTGATTTTTGTTTTGTTATTAATTATCTTGAAAAGTATTATTTACCATTTGAAGAACATTTCATTAAAAAATAATAATTTCAGTATATAAAAAATAAATACCGTGATAACTAACAGAAATACAAATAATTTTTCAGGATATAAAAATTATCATTTTGGGACATTAAAACAGGTCTCCCTCGGATCCCTCCAATTAAAGACAACTTATTGTACCGAGGCTTCCATGGTCTTTAGAAACTCTGGTCTCTAATTAGATTAATAAAGAAAATAAAAGACATTGTTAATACTAGAGGGTGTGCTTACTTACCCTCTAGTATGTGAATGGTGTGTGATTAGTTTACCACGAGAAGAAGACAGGAGGCATGTTGCATGTTATCTTGCTCAGTTATTTTCTTTACGTAATGTCAGAAAGGTACAGGTTTTGATAGCAGTTTTACATCATTTTTCATAACATAAAAATATATAGAAACCACTAAAATGTTGATCAGACAGTATTGGTCAGGGCAAGCTAAAGCAAGGTTTTAATGTAACTCACTGAGAAACTGATAACCAACTGTGCTTGACGGAAATCAACTGTGTTTGTTAACCGACTGTGCCTGTAAACTGAGCGTGCTTGAAAAAAGATTGTGATTGAAAGTTGCCTTTTTGGCATTCCATATACAACCTAGATGTGGAAGTACATACATGTAATGTTGCTCTTTTGGCATTCCATATAAAACCACACCGTAAACATACCATTGGGTTGCAAGACAGCTATTCTGGTGAAAAACAACTGTAAAACTCATTATTTTTCCCCTCAATTAAGCTGACATTTGGAATTATATTCACTTTGTGAGTTGGAGACTTCAATGATCCATGTCGTTACACCTTTTCAAACCGGCAGGTTGTTGTCTGAGGACCTCGGTTGATTTTTTTCTATTGTGATTCTAGGCTTTGAAATAAGCGTAATTATAATATAGATGGTACCCCAGAAAAGTGGTCATTATTTGGAGGTGGTCTTTAATTGGAGGGATCTTTAATTAGAGGGAGACCTGTAGGTATATTCTGTGCATAATGCATTGTCATTACACTGATAAACATTACAATTATATAAAAATTAGTTAGAAATTGCAAATAAAGTGGGTATGAAAAGGGAAGCTATGTAATTGAAATATTTCCTGGTTATCCTTTTTTAATGATATAATATTTTTAACATTGTTTAGATCGGTGTTCCAGTTTGGCTCGTGAACCTGCGCCACGATGCAACACATTCTGAACTACCCTCATTGAGCATTCTCAAAACAGGTGTAGAGTTTGCGCTGTCATGGCTGCAAACAGATTATTGGGAGAAAAATGAAGACACAGATTCTGAGTCTGAAATGGATCCAAGAGGTAAGCAAAACAGGGGCGTACCGTGGGGGGGTCGATGGGTGCGGTCGACCCCCCCTTTTAAAGAAAGTGCCCTTTTAAATATGATTTTTTTTTTAAATCTAGCATAATTAAACTGCGCCTAACATGAAGGTAGTTAATATCAAAATAAATTATCCTTCGCCTAAAAAATGTTTGGTGGCCCTTCCTTTTAATATTTTGATTTTTTGTCTTGTTTTAAACAATCCATATAAATTTATACATTTTTAATCAACTTGATACTCTAAGCCCGTGCGCCAGTGGAGTTGTGTTATGTGGTTACGCATCATTGCACTCTGCCATTATTGTTATCTGTAGATGCGTGTTTTCCGTGCAGCAAAATAATCTATTCGCGCGCAACGCAAAACCGAAGGCAATGTAATTATTTGATGAGAGCAATTTTTTCTCGCAAAATATGTGTATTAAAATAATTTTAATTCCTTTTCATTTCAAAAATGAATAAGTACCTACTGGTAATATAATTATATCCAGTGATGCATGAGAATAGCAAGCTGGCCGTCTGGATGTCTGTTTCACACTCAACAATAGTGAAGTAAAACGGTCGCTATTACGATAAAAGTATGATACCCTGGCCATTTTTTAATGGTTTTCTTTGGTTACTGAATTGTCATCAATATTATTGTATATGTTAGACAGGAAATCTGTTTTAATAATATTAATAATAAATACATACGATTTATATAGTGCACATACAGTATCACTTAGGAAGTGCTCAAGGCGCAAGAGAAAGCATGGAAATTAACCTATGAAATGCCCTAAGCTAAAAAGCAGAGGAAACCAGCATCACCGCTTTGTTTACCAGCACTTTGAAGCCCTCGATGAGGGCTCGCTGGTTCACAACTGGTCACAAAAGCTCTAATGGTGCTGATGTCTGACTGTCCTAGCCAATTTAAAAAAAAAAAACGACAAAAAAAATTAACTAATAAAACAAACTATTTTTATATATTTTGTATAATTTTCACAGCACAACTTCGTCAGCTTTTGATTAGGTACCAACAAGAGCAGTATATGGTTAGTTTTATTTTTTGTTTTTATATCCTTTACATCCAACAACAAGTTATACTGCTTTTTTTGCTTTCTTTCTGTAGTTATTTATTCACAAAACTTTATTCCAAATTTTCTGTGAATATATTCATTAAAGGACAAGGGCACGGATTCTGTAAGACTTGTTTATTATGTGATTCTGAAATCACTTGTGTGATATTGATTGAACTTTATTCTGAATAATAGCCATGTCATGATTGAATCACATTATTCGGAGTAACGTTTATATACATAGTACATAGTTCATTCCTGAACATCTACAAATAGCCTTTAGATAATAATTTCCACAAGTGTATAATATGCAACTATACTAATGCTTATTTTTATGAGCCTGTCAAACAGTGTTGTTATGCCTTAGTAGACCTATTGAGTTGCATGTTATTGATAGTATTATTAAATTCTATTGTTGTTAGTCATGTTTGATATGGGCAATTGAATCTCAAATAAAGTGAAAGAAGATTTTTTTCCTTTTCTTTTATTTTCTGTATTAGCAGGGGGTTTCTGTTTTCTTTTTTTTTTTTTTAACAGCATATACACAGTAGTAATGTTTTTAATAATAATATTACTACTATTATTATCAATCTATTTTTAGATTTTGCAAATGGGATGGAGCCAATCAAATGATGCTTTAGTGGAAGTACTTGCTGATATTTCTGAAATTATTGAGAATGAGAAAGCAATGTAAGTTATCAAATTAATCATAACACTAATAGTCATCACATGTTTCTAATAATATAAATATAGATACTGTAAGAAGCAATAAATACATAACAAATGATATAGAATGATATGGATGGAGAATAGTGAAACATAAGTGAAATATAAGTGAAATAAGTAATAAATAAATATGATAATAATAGTGATAAAAGGTAAATATAAGTAAGGAATTATAAATTATATTATGACATTAAATCTTCATTTAATTTTTTAAACTAGAATTTGTAATATTGGAATTGGTTTGACTCAGCGGGAACGGTTTGGTTTCCCAACTTCGAGGTCAGGGTTTCAGTCCCTCGCTGTACATTTCACTTGTGTCCTTGGGCAAGGCACTTTATCTGTATTGCTTCTCTCCACCTGGTAGGGTGAAATGCTAAAATGCACTGCTGTAGCTGTTGTAACCTTTTCGAATACTCCGCTTAGGGAGCTTGAGTTTGTGTTTCATAAGCGTTTGATGCCATGACCAGGGTATTGATAATGTGAAGTGCATGGAGGGCTTAACATTATGCACTACATAAGTCTATGATTATTATTATTATATTATTATTTTCCTTCAGACATGTGTTTGATATATTGCTTCAAGATGGCTTCCTTGTACCTACAGAACAGCAATTGCAGTCCCTCGCAATTGAAACTAGTAAGTTGAAATACCATAATCCTCGGGTATATTCCGCCTCTTCAAAGTCCACCCACTAAACCCTCAGTGAGCATTTCTAAAAGTATAATAAACCAATTATTTAATAAATTATATTAAAATATTTGTCTAGCGCACACAAATCCAGCATTTTTAACTAAAGACCCACTATTGTGTGATAGTTTCAAGAATTAAGAGATTTTTTACAGATAAATAATGAATTTTAATGAATTTCTATCATTACAGATATCAATACAAAGGCTGCTGAATTACCACAAATTCCAGAAAAATTTGTAAATCTCTGGCAACCTTTACTGCAACAACTATGCCAGATGAAGATACTCCATAGCATCTTAGAACCACTGTGCAAAGAATTATGCAAATATAAAACTCCCATGATGCAATCGGGTGCATATCTCTTAGGTTGGATGCGGTTATTCCTTGAAGTGGCCGATAAGAACCGTAAGAAAATATAGTTATTACGAATGATGTTTGCCGTACCTGACATGTTATTGTACTTAATGCTCAGTATGTTCCAAAAGCTTGCAAAAAAAATTTTGCAAGTGATTTGGGTTGGAATCAACACCCACGACCTACAGATAACTAGCCTGGTGTCTTAACCACTGGACCACCGAACTTGCGCTTAGTAGCTAGTGTCGAATCCAATCTCCGTGTAGCGGCGGGCACTGCAATGCCATCAGAATAACATTGTTATCATTATTTTTTAGGCTAAATACAGACATAAGTAAAGCATTTGAATATTATCCACTATATACTTCATGTTATATTTTTTTGTATATAATTTTTTACCTTATTCACTGTAGTATGTGGTATTGACTGCAGTCAGCAAAGCTTGACTATAGCACCAACAGAAGTTGATTGGCATCACTTGTTTAACTTGTGTGTTGAAAGTCCTAATCCTTATACATGTCAAATTGTACAAAGGTAAGCACAATACAGCCTACATTATAAGCCAATCACATGGGGTAGAGTTCAGAATGTCAACAATTACATTTCTAACACATAGACAGATGGTTGAACATGTTTGACTGCCACTTTAAAGTAGCAGTCACACAGATTTTAAAATAAACATCCTGAGGTCAAATCTATAAACATCAATAGCCACACCCACATACCTACACAACCCAATCAAATAATAAAGAGGTAGCACTCTGAAGGTAACTTAAATATGTAACAACGAGCTTTCGCTGGAAGTTGTTGCCAGCTTTATCAAGTCTGTTTCTTTATTATTTGTGACCAACCCTGGCAAAACTAGATGCTTGTCATCAAAATTGAAAGTCTTCAAAAAAGCTAGAATTCCCATGTATTGACTGTCTTAGTGCATGTTGGACAGAAAATGTATTATCATATCTTTGCCATTTGATATATGTTTTTAACAATTTTTTTGAGACAAGAGCCTGTTTTTGCTAGAGTGAGTCACAAATCTTGTTATTATTACTATTTAGACTTGCACAGTTATGCAACTAATTTTAACCATTTAAATGCAAACTGTAAATAAATTAAAGCTTATTGACTAACAGTCGGATTAACAATAACAATGTACAGTACTATTAATGTTTATTTTTGTAGTGTACTAATTATATATATAAATGTGTTGTTATTAGAAACCAGATGGATCAATTTAGAAACATATAAATCTAAAAATCTAAATATAGAAGTTTATATAGCCCCTCTGCAAAGTTCCCTGGCCACTAAATTCCATCAGCCATGTGCAAACTTCTATAATTTCCTGGTTAAAGATTCCAATGAGGCCGCAGTTATCCACCCACAAAGAGAAAGCACAATGCAGATAAACCAGGGTGTGTATGGTTTTGGAAAGTCCTGAAAAAACATAGAAATTCTTTCGCATGTTTTTTCCGGGACATTCAACAATCTTTTGAGAGGGCGGCTTTAAATGGCAAAGCTGACTTTAAAGAGGCCCTCCTTCAAAACAATTCATAAACAGTAATGTATAGAAATCTTAACTATAATGCTATCAAATGGCATCTTTGCCATTTGGTTTTTAACCATTTTTTGAGAAAAGAGCCTGTTTTTGCTAGGGTAGGTCACATTTGTTATTATTACTGTTTAGACTTTGCACAGCTATACAACTAATTTTAACCACTTAAACACAAACTTTAAACAAATTAAGCTTATTGACTAACAGTCGGATTAACAATAACAATGTACTATTAATGTTTATTTTTGTAATGTACTAATTATATATATATATAAATGTGGGGTCCCATAAATGTGTTATTATTAGAAACCAGATGGATCAATTTATAAACATATAAATCTAAAAATCTAAATATAGAACTTTATATAGCATCTCTGCAAAGTTCTCTGGTCACTAAATTTTATCAGTCATGTGCAGACTTCTGTAATTTCCTGGTTAAATATTCCAGTCAGACGGAAATTATCCACCCATTATCAGGACATTCAACAAAATTTTGAGAGGGTGGCTTTAAAGGCAAGGCAGACTTTAAAGAGACCTCTAACAAAACTTGTACACTACTATATATAGAAATCTTAAATGCAATCAAATATGAGATAATTTTTAAATATACAACATTTTAAATAATTAAAATTACTAGAACAAAATGTATTATATAACACTCACAAACAGGTTTAAACTTGTTGAAAACATTAAATATACTAAATTAAAAATGTTCATTTAAATTTTAGTTTGTTTTAGAACAAATTATGAAAATGTTTATGACCTATGGTGCTTTTACACTTGCTTTACTTTCTTGGTCTTTCCATTTTCTAAAGAAACAACTTAAATTAACTTATTATTATTTCTAATAACTGTATGTGAATCAAATGCTAACATTTTAAAACACAATGTTCTCTCTTGACCACACCACTAAAGTCAGTCACTTACTGCAGCCGACGGTCGTCAGCCGACGCAATTCGACAATGAATTGCGTTGCGTCCAATGCTATAGATCGTATTTAATGACGATCTGTCCAGACCGCCACCAACAGTCAGGAAATGGCATGGCGCCGTCTAGAGCTCACAGATTGCGGAGTTGGGGTCGTCATACGACGGTCACAGTGAATGTCTGGCTTTAGGCCCACCACTTAGATTGACTGCCATTTATATAGAAACATGACTTAGTGTCCAAAATTTGCTTCAAAAACGTAAAACAGTGATGATATATTGATTATTATTTTGACCTACATAAACATATGTGGGTTGTGGGAAATGTATATTACTGGCCCTGCCTATAAAATAACAAGGTGTGATTGGCCAGTTGTAAAGTTTGCTTGACTCTCCAAAAAGGTCCATTATAATACGAGATCCCCTGATGATGACATATTTGATGTCGAAATATTGAATCCCAACACGATGGCATGCATTTCGATACTTGGAGTATGTATTATACTGTCTAATACTAGACATAATCTACAACAAATTTTGTAAGCATGACATGATAAACAAACAATGTTTACGGTACACCCTATGATGTCATAAATATTTATTAATTATTATAGTTATTAATATTTTAATTAAATAGTTGTTGTAGTTGTTGTTGTAAGGGAAAACTGACAATAGAAGGTAAACTAGAGAGAACCAGAGCTAGGGGAAGGCAAGGCAAAAGTATTTAGAAGCCTAAAAATACTGGGAACCAGACAAGGGAGAATAGATATCATTCATGCCATCAATAATAGAGACAAGTTCAAAGATATAATTTAAAGTCAGAATCTGACAAGGTATTTGAAGTTGTATAGAGTTGAAATATTAAACAGTATATAAAAAAAACTAATTTGTATTTATTTAAACCTTTTATTGTTATTACTATTGTTTTCATTATTATGATTATTGATGTTATTATTAATAATATAAATTATTAAATTATTATTATTATTATTATTATTATTCCTGTTGTTATTATTGGTATTATTATTATTGTTTAAATTCTCAGTGTATTTTCGCCAGTGTTGTTGCACAAGACACTACAATAATATTCATGCATCACTGGGTTCTAAACATTGAACTCAATTACAACAGTACAAACTCCAGCCCACAAGAGAAACCAAACAACAACCCTGTTTGTACACTGTTACCTTTTCCTACACTCAGGGATTTACCATAAAAATCACAAAATACTAGTGCAGTGATATTATGAATAGTGTTATTGTTACATTTTTTTTGGTATACATGTATTTATTTTTACCTAAATATCTTGATATGTTGATAAAAATAGACCAGTAAAAAATTTGGAGACCTGCGAAAAATGTATTAAAGGATAATTTTCCAAATATATGAATATTTGATTGATAATTTTCAATTAAAACAGATGCTAGACTCATCAATCACACCAAAAAAAAAATCACAATTTGTTTGAGTAGTTCCGGGTATCTGGTTTAATGCACTCCCAACATCTAGCATTATTTTTGCTGTGTGTGCAGTAGCGGCTCTAGGATAT